TGTGGATCCATTTAGCTATAAATGTCTCTAGTTTCTCATTCTTTATGGCTGAGTAGTACTCCATTTTATAAAAAAACCCCACATCTTTATCTCAGTCAACAGTTGATGGGCATTTGGGCTCTTTCCAAGATTTAGCTATTACAAGATTTAGTTATTAGCCACTATAAACATGGGTGTGGATATATTGCTGTGGTATGATGTTTTTAATTGTTTTGGGAAGATACCCAGCAGGGGAATAGCTGGGTCAAATGGGACTCCTAATCTTAGTTTTTTGAGGAATCTGCACACTGATTTCCACAATGGTTGCAGTAAAAGATTCATTGAGAGAGAAATTAGGGAAACAATTCCTTTCACAATAGCATCCAAAAAAAATGAAATATCTAGGACTCAATCTAACAAAGGAAGTAAAAGACCTCCACTTTGAAATATACAGCACTCTGAAAAAAGCAATCAAAGAGGATATCAGAAAATGGAAAGACATCCCTTGTTCTTGGGTAGGAAGAACCAATATAGTGCAAATGGCCATACTTCCAAAATTGCTATATAGATTCAGTGCAATCCCTATTGAAATTCCAACAGCATACTTCACAGAACTAGAGAATCCAAATATTCATTTGGAACCAGAAGAGACCTCGAATAGCAAAAGCGATTCTAGGCAACAAAGACACGACAGAGGGTATCACAACCCTCAACTTGTTAAGACAACTCTTAAGAAACTCTTCCTTGTGGAGGAAGCTACATCAGAGGATATGTGCTTTATAGTTTGCCAATTCTCAAGCTTTTTGGTTTCAGGAACCCTTTACAAGATTAAAAGTTATTCAGGACCCCAAACACCTTTGTTATTTACCATATTAAAATTGAAACTAAAAAATATAAATATATTTCTAACATTTTAACAGAAATCATGTTATTGAAATTATTTTTGATGAGAAATCTTTAATGTCAGCCTTAATAAAAGAAAACTTATTTCTCTTACTTACTTCCACATTCAATGTCTTGTGATATTCCATGTCAAGTAGCCTCTGGGAAACTCCAGCATACATTTGTGAGAGAACTGGCATGGAAAATGTGAATATTTTAAAAGTGTGAATATTTTAAAATTGTGACTATTTTAAAAGCCTTTTGATTTTTGCAGATCCCCTAGAAGGGACTCAGGCACCTTCCAGTTTCCCTGGGCCACATGTTCATGGAGTGGAGTGGATGGACAGGAGAAGTGGTGGCTGTGGGGAAGTGAAGGTCAAGGTCATAGCTGCTTTCCTTCTCCTTGCCCTTGGACTTTGTTGCTAGGATTTCCTTTTTTGATTCTGATATTACTGTAAATTAGGGATTAGGGTGGGAATGAACATTCTTTTTTTTTTTTTCTTTTTATTGGTACATTTTAGGTGTACCATATAATGACATTCATCATTGGAGGTATGCACCTTTACATACTCTCTTGGTTCTTATTTTTTCCCCCTTTCCCTGCCCTCCCTTCATCCCCTCCATCCCTCCCTATTTAAAAGACTTTGTTTTAATTTTTTCATTTTCTCATATTAATTCCATTCCCTTCTTTCCTTTCCCCTACCCCTCCCACTTCCCCCTCCCCTTTGCCCTTTTTCTTCCTATTTCACATGGAATGAACATTCTTGAGATTGTCTGGCCAAAGTTACTCTTTTCTTTCTTGTCCTGAGTTTCAATACATCCTAAGACATTTTCTGTCTCATTTTTCCCCATCCAAATTTTGTAATTTAAAAAGAGACTATGTAGTTGCATTTAGATGATGTATCTCCCTGAGGGCATTTGAGATCATTTATATAGCTCTACAAGGAACAGTATGCTAACCTTTAAATACAAGTATGATACTGCTGTCTTTTAAATACAAATATGATACTGCCTCCCTTGCAGAAAATGCTACACAAGCCCAGGGTATTTTTAATACAATCTAAATATACAATTTGAACAAAATTTATACACTTTATTATTTGTCCACAAGGTGCTGCTGTTTCCCTTCAAACAACATAAGACAGCTGACCCTGAAGAACACAATGTACTCAAAATTACCATAGTTCCTGTTTCATAATTACTCAGTTTTCAGGGTGTTATTAGATTTAGCCCATAGAAGAAGTTCGTAGGGTTTTCTTTTAGAAGTATGATTTTTGACAATGAGTAAACTCAAAATTTGGCATTGTTGAAGTGAAGATTTCCTTTCTAACTTTAGAATTTTATTTATAATAATCATATTTTTAGTGATACCAACTGGTTTATAAAAATGTGTTTATATCATATACCCAATGACTGTGAAATCATTTGCCTTGAAGCAAAGCAAAACCATCAATTAGCAAATTGGGTTTAAAATGATGCCATTTTAAGAGAGCTATTTACACTCCAATTTGCAAGTTTTTTTTTTTTGAAATTAAAACATTTCTAAAATGCACTATGATTGTTCTAAAAAAGTAATGGATCTTTTTATGATAAGGAAATAAATTGAACTTCTGTGTTGGAAAGTGCAGAAAATAAATCAGCATTTTTTATAAGTAGATTTTACTGCTGGTTTAGAAATTACCTTATGTGCTTTTTAGATGGTGGAAAAACGAAGTCAGCTGTGTTTTGCACTTGTGCATGTATCATATTTGCTGTGTCATTTTCAAAAGGATTATGGAATATTGAGAGGTCAAACTTCTCTAAAGGAAGAATTCTAAGAAGTGGCAAAATGAGAAAATGAAAACAAAGCAAGCCTAGATATTTTAGACATATTCAGCAATATCTTGAAGCGAAGTCCTGGATTGGGAGTCAGCAGATCTATGTTTTGACTTTGACCAAGTCATTGGTGACCACAGCAGTTCAAACTCACAATAAATGCCAAGGCTGTGATTGGAACTGGGTTGACTGGCAAGTAGAACAGGGAGAGAGGACATTGGTTAGAGGTCATGGTCAAATATTCAGTGTTCAGTGCTAAGCAGAAAGTTAATGTGCATTCTGAGCAAAGAGCTGACACCAGAATTTGAGCTTTCTGGCTGTATCTGACACCCTACTCTGATGGCAGAATGAAGTAGTCTCAGATGTCCAAGCCATACAGAACTCACAGAGGTGTATTGTGCAGGTGTTGGCTGGTGAGCAATATCAAAATGTTCAATTCCCACTCAGCAAACATTCTTTGAAGCATCCCACAGGAGCAGAGACAAATTCTTCAGATGTGGGCTATAGGTTTGATTCCATGAATATAGTCCCAGAGCTTATATTTCAAGAGAGGTGGAGGAAACAGCATCTCAGGGTGGTAGGTGACAGCAACTAAAGTAGATTTCTAAGAGAATCCTAAGTTTTAGTTGGCTTGTGTTTTTCACAAATTGCCATAGATTATGTGGCTGAAACTAAACCACTTATTTCTCATGACTTTGGCTAGGTCAGAGGTTAAGGCTGGTAAAGACTCTCTTACTGGTTTGCAGATGGCTTTCCTCTCATTGTGTCCTTACATGGCTGAAATAGAGTTCTACCTTAGCATCATTCTTTCTTATAAGGATGCTAATCCCATCATGGAGATTCACACTCATCTGGATGTAATTACCTCCCAAAGGCCCTATTTCTAATACCATCCCACTGTCATTAGGTTTTTAACAAAATGGATTTTGATAGAACACAGACATACAATCAATAGCATCTTACCTAATAATAGCATCATTTGGATAAAAATATAGCCCCTGTAAAAAGACTTAAAATTCTTGCTAAAACTCTACCATGTCTGCCTGATTCTAGGACATCCCAACATTCTCCTACAATACTTTTTAAGTCCTTGAGAATGCTAGCATCCTTTCTTTTGAAACTTTACTTCTTTCTGTGTAGGATTTTATTAATCTTTGACAGGGACACCATAATACTGATTAGGAAAAAAGAGAAATTCTTAAAATGTGTAATATTCATGGTGAGACGAGGAACCAGCCTGTGATATTGTCAGTCAGTGAACGGCATTTGGAGGTGCTCTGTGCATGGGCTTTGTAAGTAGGAGATGTCGATCTCCATAGGGCTGTAGAGGACAGAAAACTCACAACCTCTATCCATAACCCTTTCAGTTCATCTCCAGGGAGATGGACTATTATGGTTGGTTACGATTAAGGATCTTTTCTGGGCCACAGCTAAAGGTGACACTTTTCTGACTCCAGGTGGAGAGGGATGGGTGGCTGGAGAGTTATGGGACCCTTGAGCTGCTCCTTTGGGGAGAAAGTCTGATAACTTCTCTCTCTTTTAGGGATGCTTTATGCTCCCCTCAAAACCTGTAAGACATGCCTAAAGACTAATCCTTGGCAGTAGACTTCATATTCACTCTGTTACACCAAGAACACAACCATACACAAACAAGAAAAACAAAATAAAGCTTAGACAGGACCCTGTGGCATCTGTGAGGCCACTCTCTGGCTGACTGCTTTCTTTTACCTTCCTACTACCAGGTATTGCAGTTCTTTCTCATATTGGCGTGGCAGGTTCTAGAAATTGACTGGGTCTGGAGAAAAGTAGGTGAGAGGGGGTTTTTGGTCTGTTTTGGCTTCAGGCCAAGTTAGTAACAGAGTTCTTCTGGCTTTAAGCTTAGCTCAGAAGAGTTCTTTTTGTTTGGGGGTAAAATCTCAGGTAATAATAAAGTGTTATTTTGTTCTGCTTAATTTTCTGTACAGATAGATCTTTCTTAGGGATATTGTAGGAGATTTGCTTCCTGGCCAAATACCATCTAAATCACCTCCTTTATGAGAAACTTTATTTCTCTTGCAGAATTAAAACTTAAATGCTAAGGCTGGGGATGTAGCTCAGTGATGCTGAGCCTGTCTGGCAAGCTCAAGGTTCCAAGTTCGAGCCCCAGTAATGAAGGAAAAACAACAACAACAACAACAACAACAACAACAAAAACAAACAACCAAAAACTTAAATGGAAATTCAAGAAACTACCGATAGAATTACATCATGAGGTAAATCTTGTAGCATCTTTTTAGGGCCATTGATTATTTCCTCCCTTGTTCTTCACAAAGCTCTAAGCTTGCACAAGAGTAGTGGTTTATCTAAGGCAAACTTACTGGTGGGCTTGTGATAAATTATACCAACTGTAGGACTACTGGGATACACCTATTGTCATTGGCTAGATATCCCACTAGTTGGAAGTGAGAACTGGGAAAGCCACACTTATTTATTGAGTACGTGTTTTGTGCATAGAACTTTTAAAAGTACTAGATACATTAGAAAACTTTGAATATTCTCATATTCAACCTTCACAGCAGTACTCAGATGTGAATGTTATTAGCCCCATTTTAGAGATGAAACAAACTAAGGATCAGAGGCTGAGCATTACACAGCTAGAAATAAGTAGTACTGAGATTAGTAGTACAGTTTTAACTTTGGAACAATTTCTATGTTGCCTCTCCACTAGAGTCCTTTCTTTGATTCTTCGGTGTTATTAGTCTTCAAACTGCAGGTTTATAGGAAGGTGATCCTTTAAAGAGGAGATTAGCTAAAATTGAAAATTTGAAGCTTGAAAAGAGGCATGATTAATTGCATATGGGGCTCTGTAAGACAAGAGTGTCTCCAAGTTTTCTGTCCTAACTCTCTTCCATATTAGTTCAGAAATCATATGAGTTGGACTTTTGGGTTAAATTAAGGAAACTCCCTGTCAAAAGTTAAAAAAAAAGGACTAAGAAAGGTAATATAAAATGTTGACTCAGATCTCATGCTTCAGTTTTAGAATTTTGTTCAATCCAAACAGATCTTGGTCCAATTTGAAAAGGGCAGAATTGATTTTAGTCATCCTTGGCAAACCCTTCTGTGTCAATGCCCCCTAAAGCACGAGTAGAAGTTCATTTAACTGTACCAAATTACTCCATTTTTGTGTACAGTCCAAAGAAAACCAAGACAGTATTGCTAGGTTTTGACAGGGGCAAAATTCAAGTTTGGGGACAATGAGCCCAGGCAGGCCATCTTGGGTAGTTGAAGATCACAGAAACCAACTGTTTTCTTCACATGCTGCCCACACCTATTGGAGCTAACTAGAATTCTGAAAAGGCCAGCACCACCGGCGGCTGAGCTGCCTTCACTCATCAATATCTTGGCTGATGGCTGCATGCTCTGAGGCAATTTGCCTAGCTCTCTTGATCCATACCAGAAACTTTGCTTTTGAAGTGGTTTGGAAAGCTCCAAAAGAAATGTGCTTCATGCTATTGGTATTGCTGTCAAAGAAAAAAGATTCTGCCTTTTATCAGCTCTTTACTTTTGCTCTGTGTATTTCTGTAGCACCTATTGCCAATGGCTCTGCTTATGCTGACACACAGGGAGTGTTACTGCAGCAGAAGAGGGTCCTCCATTCCATTCTGGCTTAGGGTAGGCTTGTGGCTGTTTAGGTGCTGGAATATAGGCGAACTGGATATACACAACAATTCTTTTGACATGAAGCTGGACATTCTTTATAGCTTCCCCAGACATAGGAATTGGCGGGGCTTGAAAAAGAATCACTGGCAGGAAGTTCATTTTCTTTATTGCTACCTCTGCAGCCATAAAACTAAAAGCTTTTTACTTAAATCATGTTTGCCATCTCATGGGAGTAGGAGGTCATTGCCTTCAGACTCTATCCCAATTGAAGTCTAGTCCCAAGTATTCAATAGCTTGGATAGTCTGTTTGAATTTGAACAGCTTTCTAATTGATGTTTCTCCTTCTTCCCTTCCGATTTGGTGTGGCTTGTATTTCCCTCCCCTCACTAAATCTGATTAATCCTTTTAGTGTGAACTCCATCAATTTTCATTGAATTAGAACATTCACTTATTATGCTAGCTTTAATTTCATCACTTCAAAATAACTTTCCTCTGCTTGAGGTTTCTCTTATTTTTTTTGGGTGTGTGTGTTGTTTTTTGGTACCAGGGATCAAACTCAGGACCTTGTGCTTGCGAGGCAGGTAGCAGAACCACTGAGCTAAATCCCCGGCAAGTTTTCTCTTATTTTTTGATCGAGGGTTATTTAACTCTTGCAAATAAACAGAAAAATGGATAACTCTCTGATATATCCAGTGGTTTGTGTAACAAAATAATTTGAGGTGCCTGATTTGTGCAATAAAAATATACCTAACAATATTCTTCTTTTTAAGATTTAAAACATAATAACTGACATTTTATGTAATTCTATCTATAATTCTGGTGTGAAATAATAAGTGAGGAGTCCTGTAAACTGAAGTGAACAAAGGGACTAATCCTGTGTAACCTCAAGCAGATGGCTTTCCTCTTCTGCCCTTTCTTTCCTCATACATGATATATGGATACTTTTGTCTGCCTCACTTAGTTCACACGGTGACTGTAATAGGGAAAGTACACCAAGTGTATTAAAAAGCATAAAACTCTACAGTTAGGTTCAATATGAGCTGTCAGAGCGTCTCCTATTCTGGGGTAGTGGAGGAAATAGTCCCTCTACATGGTCTCTGGGTCCCTTCTTTTCCTGGCCCTTTGGGGATTATGTTCATTGCTTTTCCAACTCCTGTGTGCATGTTCCATCTTTCTCCTTCTTGATGTTTTCTGTCAGTATTTAAACAAAAATTTTTCATTTAACAAATGCTATGTTCTATCTGAGAGAAATCTCCTCAATTCTTAAGCCTCTCTAACATCCAACAAACCATCTCTTCCTTTCTTAGTCAAACATTCCACAAGAATTTTCAACATTTATTGTCTCTTCTTTCTCATTTTCCCTTTACTTTTTACTCAGGACAACTTGGTGTCTACTTTTACCAAGATTGTTAAGCTACTGTTTTTTTTTTTTTTTTTTAATTTTCTTGAGACAGGGTCTCAGTAAATTGTCTTGGCTGGGCTTGAATATAGAATCCTCCTGCTTCAGCCTTCCAGGGTGTGGGATTAACTGCTTTTCCTAAGGTCTCTGTATTAGTGTGAGAGGGCTATCATAGCAAATAGCACAAATTTGGTGATTTATATTCTCACAGTTCTGATCTTGGAGTTCTAGAAGTCCCAGATCAAGGTGTTGGAAGGTTTTGTTTCTTCTGAAGTACTTTTGCCCTGCACATAGCCACTTTCTTTCTTTCTTTCTTTTTTTTTTTTTTGGTACCAGGGATCAAACTCAGGAACATAGCCACTTTCTTGCTGTATTCTAACCTAGTTGTTATTTAGCCTGTTGTTTGTGGCCTAATCTCCTTTTCTAATAAAGATATCAGTCATACCAGATTAGGCCCACCCATATGACTTCATTTTACTTTAATTACTTATTTAAGGGCACTGTTTCCACATATCTATCATATCCTGCTGTAGTGGGGATCAGGATTTCAACATGAATTTGAAGGGAATAATTCAGTTTAACTTTTATGACTAGATGAAAGATCCTCCTATTTTTAAGAACAGTGAAATCTCTGGAGCATTCAGTAGAGTAAACTTATTCCTCTGGCTTCAAAGTCTCCTTTTTAGCGGACTTCTTTGACTCTGTGTCTGATTTTCTTTCTTTTTTTTGTGGCTAAGCTCAAGCTCCTTTTCATTTTTTTTGTTTTATGCCAGCTCCTTCTCCTTTGCTCAGACTCTAAATGTTGAAGTTTCTCAGTTCTCTACCCAAGGTCATCTTCTATTTTCACTCTACAGGACTCTAATCAAGATCTTAATAATTCCAATCAATGGCTGTAAGTATAGTTTATGTGCTTATGACTCCTAAATGCAAATCTGTACTATACATCGCTCCTACTAAGCTTCAAGACATTGTATACAACTGGCATCTTGAAATTTCCTCTAAAATTAGAACTCAGAAATTTTGAGTTGTATCCAAAATCTGTGCCTCTTCCTAAGTCAATTCTTTTCTGTTAGTTTATTTCTTCTCCAGCCTTCCTGTTCTTTAGAAAAATCACCTCTGTTGATCTGTTAGAAATGAGTCTTTGAGCTATTCTAGTTCAGGGCTTCATTGTCTCTCTTTGTGGGCTAACATCCACCTATATTCTTGCTCTTCTAAGTAGTGTCAGAGACCAGCTGGGTCTCTGGGAGTTAGTTAGAGCCCAGGCCTCAACCCAGATCTAATGATGTATACATTAACATTTATGATGCTGTCCTCTAGATCTCAGCCTAGGTGTTATGTTTTTAGAGTGATCTTTCTCAACTGACCAATACTCATTAGGTCACTTAATGGGTTCACTCACGAGTCTGTGGTACCCAGAAAGGAAAGGAAGTGAACCCCAATAAGGGGAAGTGAAGCCTACCAATCAGAGGGTGTTCATTTTTTAGTTTTACCTAAGGCAGTCACTATCAAAAGTTTGTGTAGAGGAGTACATAAGATATGGGAATAGTTTGAGCAAGCTGAAAAATTGCAAGTTTTGTTTTCTTTAATAAATATTTTTGAGATTCCCCCTGAAAAACACTTTTTTGAGTTGTTTAGTTTTAATTTGCTACCTCATGACACCATAGGATAATGCACATCAGTGAGCCACAGTGGTTTGAGTTTTCCAATGTTTCATTGATCCATGGTTGTGGGGTGCATTATAGCAGTCAAGCTAGAACACCTATTCTTTAATGTAGTTTGATTGCTGCTTGGTTACAAGTCAATTGTTCAGTGTTTTGTTGCAAACACTTTAGATGTTGCATAGTTGGTTGATTGGTTTATGTTCCTAGGGTGTTCTGTAGATTCTGTCAGAAGCCAAACAGACACATTATCGAAGACATCCAGCATTTTCAAAGGACATATGAGTTCTCAACCAATGAACTAAGCCGTATTTTATGACCGTGAGATGAAAGAAAACACAGCATTAAGACTAAACACTTCTTAAACTTGCCACCAACAGCATTTCTAAAGTGTCATACATTTATTATTTGTTTATAAAAATGTTTTGTTGCCTCTCTCAGCAAGTATTTTAGGATTTTATGAATATCAAAATATTCTATTAATTTAACTGGGAAACTTGGTGGTGGTGTTCAACAAACTGAAATTGTTGGCAGAGATGTAATTTTAAAGTGTAATTCCACTTGTTCCTTGAGTATTACAGCTGTTTCTTGTTTGTTTAATAATAGAGCTGATGAGTAGTTAATTTGAGTGGAAAGCTGGTGCAGGTGTAGTACTACTTAGGCATAATGGAAGACATATTTGACATCTGTTGCAAGATATAGGGGCAAAGCAAAACAGAAGTTGAAGTTATCCTGTGTCAAATCTATGTAGTTTAAAACCTCACATAGTTTCTCTGGACATTGAGAAAGGAAGTTTAGTAGAAATCCAAGAAAATAAGAGAAGGACCAACATTTGCTGATTGCCTTCTCTAGGCCACTTGTTTAGTCATTACTAAAACTCTTCAGCAAGTTTTATTTGTTCCCTTTCACTCAGATTAAAAGTTGAGACTCAGAACTTGTGCTTTTTTTGCCCTGGTTACACATTACAGTCACTAGAGTGGCATTTAAAAAAGTACACACTTGTACACCCATGGCTACTACCAAAAACCCAGAAAATAACAAGTGCTGTCAAAGATACAGAGAATTGTAACCCTTGTACTTTGCTGGTAGGAATTGCTGGATGCAACACCTCTGGGATACAGTATGGTAGTGCCTCAAAATCTAAATGTGGAATTACCATATGATTCAGTTATCCCAATCATATCTGTCTATGTCTGTACTTGTATTCATATCTATATCTATTTCCAAAATAATTGAAAGCAAGCACTCATTTACTTGTACACCTATGTCATGGCATCATAGCAGCATCATTTACTATAGTTGAAATCAACCATGAAGGTTAAACAATCTCAAAATCCATTGACAAATAGATGGATAAACAAATATGGTATTAGTGTATAGGACATTATTCAGCTCAAAAAAGAGACAACTTTATACTTGTTACAACATAGCTGAAACGTGAAAATATTATGCCAAATGAAATAAGCCAGACATAGAAGAACAAATATTGCATGACTGAATTTATATGAGATACCTAGAGCTGGATAAATGGGAAATTTGGCTCCCAGAAATTAAAAAAGATAGAAGGGAGAATAGAGGTGCCAAGGTTGAAGTATGTGTGTGGGGGGAGCAGGAATGGGGAGTTATTGTTAGTGGACACAGTGTTTCTGTTTGGGATTATGAAAAAGTTCTGGAAATGGATACTGGTGATGGATGCATAACACCATGAATGTACTTACTGTTATTATATACTTTACCAAACATTAAAACAATAAAACTGTTACTTGGACTCCACAGTCAAACACGCTGACCTGACTGGTTTGTTCTAGGCCTGGACATCAGTGTCCTCCAGGGAGCCTGTGGTCAGGAGGCTGTTCCAGAGCTGTCCCACATCCTTCTTGTTTCCCACCCAGGTCTCATTGCACCTGAACAGACCCATGCGTCAAAGCCAGGTTTGCTTCTTCCTCTTTTCACTTCAACTTTCTCCCTCAATCTCAGTCATGTATTAAAAGAAAATCAAGATGAGTAAAAATTCATAGTAGGCTATGAAATATTTTCTCAAGGATTTTTTCTAATTTTAATTTTAATTTTTATTAGTACATGTTTGCATTGCATAGCAATTACATTCATTGTGGGGAGGTGGTACAGGTATCTAATACTTAATTCTTTTTTCATTCCTTTCCTCTCCTCCCTTCCTCCATCTCTTGGCCACTTTCCCTTCTTTTTTGATTAACTTGCCTGACTCTAAACAGTGACATTCTGACAAAGCAAAGGATCCAAAAATCTTACCACTTAGACATTTATGTGTCAACAATTATTTTTAAAATATTTGTAATAAAAGCAAGATGAGGGAGGCAATGAAGGGACCCAGAGCCTTTTCTGAGGCTCAACAGGAGACCTTTGGGTTCATAACACCAGAAAGTAGGGGGGAAATTCATGGCTCCCCATTCTCTACCTCCACCTTTTCTGGTTTTTCCCTCCACCTTCCACAGCTACCCTTGGGATCCTGGGATCTGAGCCATCCACAGGTCTAGTCATCTCCCTTCTTCTCCCTTTAGTAAAAGAACATGATACAAAGTGAGGTGCTGATGCATTAAACTAGATGAATTCAGCAGTGAAAGTTAATTCCATACTAGGTTTTAATATCTACTAAAAAACCCGCTATCTTTCATTGAAAAAGTTACCATATACTGGGGGTGGGGGGCAGGGCTTGGCTGAAGAGTGAATGGTTAAACTTCAGGGCAAAAGCCCATGGGTCTCTGAGAAAAGAAGTTCAGATTAGAGAAGCATGTCATGTTTGGCCATTGTCCTTCCCTTTCCCCAAGAAAACTGCCTATCCTTGAGACAGCTCCTTGCCCAAACTGCTTTTCTTCTGCTTTGTTCTCTTACAGTGATATTCTAAATAAAAGCCTGAGCATTCACAGCTTTGAGGCTTCTCCTGGGGGTCTGCTTTCCATTGAGATGGTCCCTCTGGGCTCTTGGAGATTAAATTAAGTCTCCTCTCTGAATAATCATTCATTCTCTATGACACCATGGCCACATACTGCCTCAATGTACCATCTTACTCATGTTTTTCTGGGACATAACCCACACAGTTGTCTTTCTGGATATACATTTCATTTTCCTTCTGTGCAAAATAGTTTGTTGGACCCAGAAATTTCTCCAGTCTTTTAAAACTGAGTTTATCTCCTTTTATTGTAGAGTTCTGTTTTCTCAGTGCCTCCTACATCTAGTCTTTTTCTTTGGCTTAGCAAAATCTGCTTTCGCCCTTCTTATTCATCTATTATTTTTCCTCTAATTTATCTCATCTATGATATGAATATTTTTACCCAAACAAACTTCAACTTCTATCTCATATCTCCTTTTATGCAGATGTTCTCCTTTGATGTCTCTATTGAGGACAATAAAAATAGATAAGACTGAATATAATTAAAGTATGTGTTCTATTTGTTTGTTGGTGAAATTCTGATAAGAAATTCAAAGTGCTTTTTAAATCATCATTTAATCACTAGGCAGTGAAGGTAAAGAGGAATAAATTCAGCTTACATCTGTTAAACATAGGAATCTTCTCACTGATTTTTATTGAGGCCTTTTAAATGCATTTTAACACTAGTTAAAATCTAGTGTTAAATCTCCTTGGCCCAAATGGAATATAGTGTGGAGTTGGAAAATGGAGAAACCTATACACAGTTCTTTGCTGGAGTTGATATGAAATATTCTGCAATTTTGTGAGGTTATTGTTAAACCATTGGTGACTTGAAATTGATCATGGTGGGAATATTTACAAAATGAAATCAGCAAATTTTATCAATTTAGGATTTTTTCCTTTCCTTAAAATAATGGTTTACTAGATTACCACTTTTTTTTTAACATCTGAAATATGATATATTCTTAATATTTTTCTTCATATTGCTATACTTCCAAACTGTTTAGAAAGTATCTCTTAAAATATAACTCATACCTCATCATAAAAATGGCCAAGGAAAAAAAAAGTCAATTCAGGACAACATTTACAGCTTATATTCTTAATTCCCCATTCAATAAAATATCAATTGTCAGTTTATTAAAGGTAAAGGAACTGTATATATGCATCTTGTTAGTGCTGAAAATCTGACATATACATGTATATTTAAACATCACTCCTTCTGATAGTATTTAAAATATTGCATCTCTGGTGGCAAATTTGAAAACTATCAAGCATTTCATTTCACTAGTTTTCATACTTCCACCCCTACTGCTACCCCTTTTTATCTGTAATGTCCATTCATCCAACATTTTGTTTTGTTTGCTTTTTTAAATACCCTTACTTATATCCCAACACAAAACACTGACAATATACTTTGGTAAACAAGGAAATTCCAGAACAGCCTGAGCATACAGCTTTACTCCCAAATTGTGGCACAGGCCAAATGATAAATAAAAACAATCATCGGCCCTTATTGATGCAGTCAGAATGCTCCTGAGAGTCCATAACTTTGAGAATTTGCTGATGTAATCCCGAAGAAGTTTCAACAGATTCTTCAGACAAGGATCAGAGAATAAGTCTTTGATAATTTTTCTATTTATTTCTGCCAAGGCGACTAAAAACATGAAAGCCTTTTCATCAGAGAGGTTAGCATAGATGTCAATTTCCTTTTCCTGTTTCTCTCTTTCTTCCTTATGTTTTTTGGCAGATGCACTTTTAGGTCTTCCTCTTCCTCATCTGATATGATCTGAATGGCTGTTACTTTGAGTCCACTTTCTGTTTTCTAAATCTTTATTTACTGTAGAATTTATCTTCTCTCTTCTAACTCTCTCTGTTTGCCTCCTCTTGGCCTCATGCTTATTTTCTGTAGAAGATGGTGATTTCTCTGAGTGTTTTGCATTTAAAAGTTTTCTGCTAATAAATATGTAACCACAGGGACATGATTTACATGCAACAGGAACCTCTGTCCCAGACAAAGCCTCCGAGGCAGGCAGGCTCTGGAGCCAGTGTCCAGGCTGATCTGCACATGGGCGCTAGCTGCCCGGGGCCTAGGTCACCACTTTTATTCTTCTTGCTAGACAGAATTCCTGTGAATATTCACAGACCCTTTGAGAAGGGCTCTGTTAGCTGACAGTTGATCCACTATCCTTCCTCCCTCCCTTTGTCCTCTCTCTCCTGTCTCCTGCTAGTTTTCTGACTCCCAGTGTTGTCCTACCTTACATACATTATACATTGGCCAGGCATGCTCCTTCTCAGAGTGGTTGACCAGCTGTTTGCCTTTTCTTCCTCTGTATCTGGAAAGCTGGCTCCCTCACCTGGAGTGTTTGCTCAGATGTCATCTTCTCAGTGAGAACTTCTGTATTATTTTCCTGTGACCTCTCTCACAAAGAACACAAAGTTAATAACTTGAAAGAACACACCCTCACTCTAGAATAGAACCTATTTCTCCAGTTTCCAGCTTTCAGAGGACATCCATATTCCTTGGCTTGTGGTGCTCTTCTGGCTAGCAACTGCATCATTGCATCTCTGTCTGCACATTTTCTGTCTCTCATTCTTTTGTCTGCCTCTTTTTTTAATAAGCACTTTTGTGATTGGTCCCACCTGCATACTCCAAAATATTTTCTTATATCATAACTTTTAACTTATACATGTTTATAAAATTCCTTTTGCCACATATGGATATGGAGATGTTTGGGGGACCATTATTTTGCTGAGTATACCTTCCTTGACATTCTGTTGACTTTGCACCTTCCCAACTCCAGAAATCTTATCCTTATTCCATTCTTAGTTTTCCCAGTAACCATACCACTAACTACATTATGGCATTTTATATATTTGGTATATTTATTGCGTTGATGGTCTGTGTTTTTCCACTGAAACATAATCTACATGAAGATAATTTTTTTTCAAGTACTGGGGATTGAACTTGGGTCCTTGTGCATGCTAATAAATGTTCTACTACTAAACTATATCCCCAAACCTTTAGAAGGTTGTTTCCCTAACTGGTTTGGTAAGATTACTGTTTTGTTAACTTTTTTAATCTGTGAGGAAATCTTATTCCCACACCACTTTTTGTGTGTGTGTGTGTGTGTGTGTGTGTGTGTGTGTGTGTGTGTGATCTTGCTGTGTTGCTCTGGCTGGTCTTGGATTCTTGAACTTCTGGGCTCAAGTGAGTCTCCAAGTTCAGCCTACCAGTTGCTGAGACTATAGGCTGGCACCAGCATGCCTGGTCCAAGGGTAATTATTTTTTTGTCATATCATTGTTGTTTAGAACAGTGCCTAGATTGTAGTAAGTTACAAATATGTATTTTTGATTGAATAAATCACATTGAAAAGTTTGGGAAGGAAGCTGATGTGATAAGTGTTTGCCAGTGATGGGAAGGGGTAGGTGCCTGCCCCGCAGAGGGAGCTGGAGGGCTTCAAAGGTCATCCTGGGCAGCACTGCTTTGTTCACAGTGAAATATTGGCCCAGGTTCTGGCTTCTGATGTATTCCCTCATATTTGCTTTTCCTCTTTCTTTAGAATATATGCACAACTTTTATATTAGTTTCTGACTTCATAAACTCATAGCAAAGAAACCATTTCACCTCATATTTTTATAACTTTTCCACTCTGCATGGAGCTAGATATTGAATATGTAGGTGCCAAGTATTTATTTGCTTTTCTATTTCTTACCTTTCTTTTCTTAGAAGTCAGTCTTAGAGAGAAAGGGATCAATGCAATGAGGTGTGTGTGTGTGTGTGTGTGTGTGTGTGTGTGTGTGTGTGTGTAGTGATGGGGCAGGGAGTGAAGAATGGAGGAGGCCTTGACTTTAAGAAGAGAACTTTGTGTGGGAAGTGCACTTCAGATTGCACAGTGCTCTGTGATTAGATGTTTGGAATTTAGGCGGCCTGAACTTGAGTCTTAGTCTCTCGCCTTCCTCTCGTCAGCATGAGTGTCACCACCCTTTCCATCATCTTCTCTAGCAACTACTGGCCTGGCCTCTGTCCAGCCCTCCAGCCAGGCAGTGCCATCCACTGGACAATGTGGTTAG